TTGGGGAACACTTTTCACATCCGGCACGACAAGTTTGTATCTGTGTCCGCGTGTGCTGCATGGCCTTCGTAAGTGCAGCAATGGCCTCAGCATGGGGAATTCACCGTGATGTAGGATACGGTAGGTCATAATGTGGTCGACTCGCATCCGACGGTATGACAAGGTGTAGAATCCTAGTTTCTCGCACCGATCTTCATACCCCAAGCCACGTAAACTCGGGATGAGCCTGATAGCAACGTATTGGATCCGTTCGATCTCTTATGCCTCGTCTCGGGTAATCGGAAAGTAGGCGGGCGAACGGTACTCTAGCATTGGTCTAATGATGGAAGAGAAGAGGCGAGTGGCAACCTCTTCAGACCATGTGCCGAAGCTACGTTTGAGCACCCAAAGCATGTGCAATCCGTTACGATATAGCCTGTTCGTGTTGTCCAAGGACTTCAAATCGTAGCACGAGAGTACACCAAGGTCCTTCACGGATGGTGTGGGATATAGCGGTTAATCGTCAAGAGTGTAGGTTCGGCCGTCAGCACCCTTTTCCAGGCTCATAAATACAGACTTTGCTGGGTTGACCGAGAGGTGAACTTCTGCAGACCATGTGGATAGGTAGTTGAGGTGTTGCTGAAGTAGGCCACAGTCGTCGGGAGTGTCAATTTCTCTCCAAATCTTCATGTCGTCCGCAAACAAGGTACAAGGCGACCGGAGAACCTGGAGGAGATCGTTGATGTGGATCAGGAACAGAGTGGGCCCCAGCACAGTGCCTCGAGGCACGTAACTTGTAGAGGGCTAACAGTCAGTTGGGTGATCGTCGACCTGTACCCTCCACTTTCGTCCAACAAGAAAGTCGAATCCACCGGTGCAGTGAGCCACCGTTACCACACATCCTGAGTTTGTGAAGGAGAACCTCATGGCTGACCTTGTCGAACGCTTTACTGCAATCGATGAAGATCACGTCGACAGATTTCCCCTTGCTTATTGCCTTCAACCACTAGTGCCTCGTCACAAGCAACTTTGTAATACATGAGCAACCTTGCATAAAACCTTGCTGTGCGGGCGTCATGACCCCGTTTGACTGTAGCAACTGAAATAATCCCTTTTGTACGATTTTCTCAACAACCTTTGCCAAAATAGGTGTCAGACGTATTGGTCCATAATTGTCTAATTTGCTAGGGTCGCCACCTTTCGGAATAAGCTTCACCACCGAACATTTCCAGTCAATCGGCAACGAACCTTCGGACAGCGACCTGTTGATAAGGTCATTCACGACAGGAGAGTTGATGGACGAAAGTGACTTGAGAATCAGTGGGTGAAGCCCATCAGGTCCGGCAAGTTTGGTGCCGTCAAGGCTGGCGAGTAGTTGACATACCTCTTCAACGCCGCAATGCAGGCTGTCGAGATCGGTAAAAGCGGTTCACGTCGAACTCAGAACAGACATCTGGTCATTTGCAAATACAGAAGCGAAGTGCGCCGCCAACGCGGACGCACGCTCTGTGCTGGAGGTTATGGGTAGTCCATCCGGGCCATCCAGCACTGGCACATTACCTGCCGGCTTCAGGCGTCGCTTCACGTATGCAAAGATTCTCTTTGGAGTGGTCTTCGCAGCGATTGCGAGCTGCTCTTTGCAATGTCGGTGCTTATTCCTTTTTCCACTGTTGCAGTGGTTCCGCTGACATTTATACCCTTCGTAGTCACTGGCAGAGCCAGAGAGGAGGAATGTGTCCCACAGTCGGCTTTGTCTCCGAACCAGATTTCCATACTCCTTGTCAAACCATTGCGGCTTAATCGGTCCAACTTTCCGACATTTCAATGGCACAAATTGGGAACACAATGATATCAATCTCTCTTTTAGAAGTATCCAACAGTCTTCCACAGATGCAGTTTGTGACAGAGACCAATCCAGTTGGCTCGCGGCTCGAGCTAGACCGTCGAAGTCCGTTTTCCAGTAGTTGTAAGCTGGTTCCAGCGGACGTGAATACGGCAAAGGTAATTCCATATCAGCTATGAGCACTGAGTGGTCGCTTGTAGTCAGGGGCTCCGAGATCCGAACGTCACGCACTTGTTGTTCGTAGCTCGTTAACATCAGGTCGAGATAGGACGGAATTGAGCGTGGTATTATGCGTGTTGGCTGGCATATGTGTTGCGATGCACCAGTCTCAAGTACCAAGTCCACGAACTTTGCTTCAACCTCACTATGTCCAGGCATCAAATGCACATCGGGCCATCGTATTCGAGGACAGTTAAAGTCGCTCATAAGTAGAAACTGTGGACGACACAGGTGGGTTCGAAGATGGAGCAGCCAACCCAAACAACGACTCAGGGGGCAGCGATAAACTGCGCCCACAAGCAGTCCTCCGCGCCTGAGGCGGATGGAGCACCACAGTAGCTCACACAAACCATCGTCACTTCGGTATGTGCTCACAATTCCCCCACGCAGGGAAGACCGGATGTAAAGTAAGACACCACTGCGGGCATTCTTTAGTCTATCGCATCGGAAGCACGAGTAACCGTTGAGTTTAAGTTCCTGGGTGTATAACTCTGAATGCAGCCATGTCTGTGCGAGTTCCACTACGTCTGGCCACTCAGACGCAACGAAACAACAAAACTCATCGCGTTTGTTCATAACACTGCAAACGTTTGTGAAGGCTACTCGCAGGCCGCAGCAGGAGCCGCCGGGCCCCTCCGACACATCAAGTTGGGAATATTGCTGTCTTGGACCGCATTTTTTTCAGATAAGAAGAAATGGGTCCTACCTTGCCTGTCTTCGGGAGTCATTATTACAATCATGTAGTTTACCTGGCATCAAATTGTCCTACACATTTTGTTCAGCACGCCAACGGGGAGTAACTTCAAGTGCATTTATTACCAAATAGCTTCCCAGGATACTGTAACCTTGCTATCCACTAGAATGTGGAAATCAGTAAATTCTTTCAATTGCCTGTGGTTACATTGACGTTCATGAAATACGCACCTGATCAGTGAGTTATACCTACAAACACTACTGGCACAATATTCCTTCCCTGAGTTACCTCATTCTTACTATTCACTGGTCCGGAAAATTCAAGTATTCCCAACGAAATTCGAACACAGACGAAACCTCAGCTGAACACTATGCGTATAGTTGTCCCGATCTTTATCTCCGGAGCATGCTAACAATCGGTCATCGGCCATCATAATTAGGGGGATCGGGATGACCGGTGCTAGCAGAGCGAGACTACAGCATATTCTTTTGTTGTAACATCCCTGAAGAACTGCGTTCATCAGCAATAAGACTGCATCGCACATACAGGACACAAAGAAAGAGCTTGATCCTGCCAATGCGATATCCGAAATATTTTCGCAACTGGGTGGTTATGCATCACAACTTCTATCCCAACTTTCAGTTCTAAAATACATTTTATCCATATCAGTACATGTTACTCCTCCCCACATCATCGGAACCTAACATTCCACTCTGCTTCATAGTGCCCAATATGTCCTCCTAGTTGATCATTTCTGAGCAACTTCCTCTTTTTGCGACCAGCGTATGCTCGTGGTCCTGTACATGATTGCAGTACCGTGATCATGCCTATGCAGGTTTGTCTCGCTTTGCTGGGAATAAACAAGTTATTTACTTGCCCACTGAGCGTTATTGGTCCAACTGGTTTTCGTTCGACTCGTAATGTGTGCTTACTGTTGTCCATCAACCTTGCTGCAACTTTAAAGTATGTATGGCGCTTTTTTATCTCTGTGGTAAGGTTGATTATGGTGTGAGGCAATGAAAACCGCAAAGAGGCTCTCACTATCACTGCATTGTCCTTACATGATGGTGTGATACCAATAATACTTAATACTTGCTTAAGACTTTAGGGACTCGCAATAAGTTCTCTTTTTCTCTCTTCGTATTATTCTCTTTTATACTTTTCGCTTTGGCAGTATGACAACGAACCATCAGCATACTGTTCTTACGTAGTACTGCTGCTGACGATATTGAAGAGCAGTGTTTGCGCTCCGTAAAATGTGACGGCGATGCAAATATCTGAAATGCGTCGTCGGTAACGATTTTTTGTCAAAGGTTTCCCGTTTGTTAGTTCCAATACAGTTTACCTCTAGTGATCCGCACGCTTTAATCCGCGCCTGTGACGAGTCAGTGCTATTCAAAACAGGAATGATAGCGGTGCATTACAGTTTCACCGTATGGTCAGACCGATTTCAACTAGGTTAGCATAGCATACTTGGCCTGTGAACTTATCGGTGAGACGCTGAGCCTTGGTTTTGTTATATACCAGATTGCGGGATTGCAGCTCAAAGATTTGAAGGTAGAATCACTTTCTGTCGTAGTCAGGTGTAGAGCCTTCATAAGACGCAACGAGTAAGCAAACGGGGGCAGGAATTGGAATTGTGCAAGCCACGCAAACATCGGCCAGATAGAGCGGGTTTACCCGTCATTATGAAGTGCGACTGGTTGAAGCAGTGTGGGGTGTGCAGCGCAGCGTAGATTACGAGAGCCAGACCCCTGAGGTCCTTGTGAAGACAGCATACGGACGAGCTGAGTGGGTCGAGTTGCTTGACTCGAACCTTTTAAATGTTCCAGTTCCACAGATGGTGCACCCCACCGTGTTCTTACAGTGTGGACAACAACTGAGATACCCCTGTTTCAGTCAGCTAACTGACAACCATTATACTTCACTAGCTGAGTGGGTTTTTGTTAGATCGCAGATTTCTCTCACTGTTAGACTTACCATATGGATCAACCACTGATTCCTTCATAACTATTTACCACTCGCGTTGTGAATCTATTTGCTTCAACTTTACTCCACTGAACAGATGATTTCTCTCCGATTTCACCCCCGATGGGATGCTAATCCCACATGACCACTTTTTGTTTGGGTCTTATTCGGTGGTCTCCCAAGTTCATCCACTTGCATCGCTGTCTCCAGTCATTACCTTTGAACCCTGATACGTGTTGGCTTGACTTATACTCTAACTATGACCTATTCCCATTGTGTTTCTTAACCGTGTTTTAGCCATAACCGTGAACTGGTGAGTCAACTGTTTCGCCTACTTGCGGTACAGTTGCATCAGCAACATGCACAAATTCGACTCGGGGTGCTCACGCTCGTTTCACAATTATCGCGTCCCTCATTCGTGTTGAAGCATTTGGACCAGTCTGCCGATACTCAAGCAGTGTCAAGCTTGTGCTCATTACTTCGAGATATGCTGCTGATAAATTTGCAGGTCAGTTACTACCGTCCTCTCCTGCTCGCTTCCTTGCGTGTCGCAATGTAGATTTTTCAGCACATCGTCTTTCATGTTTTGCATTTCTTAAGGATTTCATGCAGCTATTTCCCTTCAGAAATTTTAAGAGAGCAAGAACGAATAACATTTTACGGGATAACCTGAATTCAGATTATTTCGTGTCTTCTCATTCAGCCGTTTATAGACAAATCATGGAAAGAGTAAAGGAATGCAATCGAAAAAGGGGGTCAATAAAACACCGAGAAAATCAAGCTCCTCGCCTACGTCTTATCAGGGCAAGGCAAGACTGGCCACAAGGTCGATCTGTTTGCAAAGGTTAGGTTTCATTTGTCGGATGGCAGAGGCTTCAGCGAAACGAAGCAAGCTCGCGTTGTTTTGTCTGCTGATAACCTTGAATGCGTCACGTGGGTTTTCGCACAAGGTACAATCGAGCAGATGCTGAGCGATTGAGCTGGCAGGGAGTTTAGGGCCACTATTTGCCAGGTTCCGTGGAACATGTTCCATGATCCTAGTTGATAGCCTTCTCTCGGTTCGGCCAATGTACATGCTACCACAAGTACATGTGAATTGGTAAACATATGAGGCGGTAACATGAGCGTGAGGCCGATCCAAGTTGGATTCATGGAACAGCTTTTTGGTTTGATGTAACAACACGAGCTCAGCTGCGTAGTAGCACCTTTTTATGGCTTGGCATAATCGGTAGCACAATCTTCTGTCGTTCTGTTCCCCTTTGTATGGTAGCGTGATGAAGACCTTTTTCTTTGGGACATCCATTCGTTTTTCTGTCTTAGCAACCTCATTCCAATACCTGGCAATGAATTTATTCGCCTAGTCGTTATTGCGTACGTAATTCAGCCTCGATTGACTCTTCAGAGGATATTCGGTGTGCTCTAACAAAACAAGTTCGAACTAGGGATCGTTTATAGTTCATTGGACAGTAACTGTTGAAATGTAGGTATTGTCCGGTGCAGCTCGGTTTCCGGTAAATCGATCTTATGAGTGAACCATCTGCTCTTCTTTTAAGTGCAATGTCAAGAAAATGAAACGAGCCCCCTGATTCACTTTCCATAATAAACTTGATATTAGGAACATTCAAGTGTCGACCCTTCTCAACGAACTCAAAAATATCTTTTAGACTGTACACTTCTAGCTCAGCACGTACAGGCTCGAGTCGCTTTGCCAGCCATCATGCCAGTTTCTGGTGCGGTGCCGCAACCATTGAAAGAATAGGACGCAGTGGAACCCCATCTTTGTGTGTTTTTGGCAATCCATACATAGGAGGAAGTCTTGAGCCTCGAAGTCGGAGTTCCGCCATCGATTTTGCGTCGATTTGTCTCTCTTTGTATAGTGTTCGTAGCTCACGCACTATCAAATTCTCTACATTTTCCATTTTGTCTTTCCCTGTCAGATCTCTAACGAATCTACCCTCATTCGTGAGCAGCGATTGCATCAGATAATCATTTTTACTCATGAGGACAACTCCAGAGCCCATATCCGGTCTCGGTAACACAACATTCACATTTCGGCGTAGCTGTTGCAATGAATCAAAATGTTAATTAGTGATAAGACACGAAGTAATCTGAATTCAGGGTATCCCGTATAATGTTGTTCGTTCTTGTTCTCTTCAAATTTCTGAAGAGAAATGGCTGCGTGAAATTCTTAAAGAAACGCCTCCCTCCTGACAAGTTTCGCTCACTGGCAAAAGTAGTGTCCAATGAACTATAAACGATCACTAGTTCGAACTTTTTTTGTTAGAGCACACCGAATATCCTCTGAAGAGTCAATCAAGGCTGATTTACGTACGCAATAACGACTATCCGAATAAATTCATTGCCAGGTATTGGAATGAGGTTGCTAAGAGAGAAAAACGAATGGATGTCCCAAAGAAAAAGGTCTTCATCACGCTATCATACAAAGGGGAACAGTACGACAGAAGATTGTGCTTCCGATTATGCCAAGCCATAAAAAGGTGCTACTACGCAGCTGAGCTCGTGTTGTTACATCAAACCAAAAAGCTGTTCCATGAATCCAACTTGGATCGGCCTCACGCTCATGTTACCGCCTCATATGTTTACCAATTCACATGTACTTGTGGTAGCATGTACATTGGCCGAACCGAGAGAAGGCTATCAACTAGAATCATGGAACATGTTCCACGGAACCTGGCAAATAGTGGCCCTAAACTCCCTGCCACTTCAATCGCTCAGCATCTGCTCGATTGTATCTTATGCGAAAACCCACGTGACGCATTCAAAGTTATCCGCAGACAAAACAACGCGAGCTTGCTTCGTTTCGATGAAGCCTCTGCCATCCGACAAATGAAACCTAACCTTTGCAAACAGATCGACCTTGTGGCCAGTCTTGCCTTGCCCTGATAAGACGTAGGCGAGGAGCTTGATTTTCTCGGTGTTTTATTGACCCCCTTTTTCGATTGCATTCCTTTACTCTTTTCACGATTTGTCTGTAAGCGGCTGAATGAGAAGACACGAAATAATCTGAATTCAGGTTATCCCGTAAAATGTTGTTCGTTCTTGCTCTCTTAAACTTTTACATTTGTATCCGTGACCAAGTTTATCGCGACCGGTTTTAGAGTGGCTCGGAATGATGTATTTCGCCTTCGTTCCTTCCAGTCAGTGCGATTATATTTTCTTTCACTTGATCAAATTATTTGATATATATATGTGCTGTGTTGGCTTCTGGTGTGAAAGAGGTCCCGGTCTTGTCACCGATGTATTCCCACTTCTCAAGTCACCGTGAGTCTTTGGACTACTCCGTTAGCCCGAGGATATCACCGCATTCTTTCTTCCTGCTTACATCACGACGTGTTCTGCTTTATGCAGCTTCAAGGTCAGAAACACAAATTAGGAAACATGCTTGTTTTCAGGGTTTCATCCTTAGGCTAATACAACAACGATAAAGCAAGGTAGACTAGCCACAAGAGGTTCAATTAAGTGAGTCACTGAAGTTAACTATCTAATCGGCAATACTACATTGTTGGTCTGCTTGATGTGACGTTGAGTGAAGTGGCCTGATTGTCATTGTTAGTCGTGCTGGCCTGTGACCAAGGTTACGTTACGGTTTGGACGAGCTTTTCTGTGCACCTAGCTCCAGGTTATGGAGCCGAATTGCGATCGCCTCTGCTGGCGGGATCTGGCTGCTCGTGTAGATTTTTGTGAATGCGTCATGCGACATGATTTTGTACTCGGAGTATAGTAGATGCGACATTGCGCTCGTCATATTCTTCCTCGTACGGCTGTATAGCCAAGCTGAGAAATGCTCTCGAGTTTTAACGGGTACGCCTGGTCGTTCTCCGAAAACAACTTGCTTGACACGAACAAGAGAAAGTATACGCACAGGAGGGGCTCTGCGACCGAGGTATCCTGTTCTTAAGTTGCTGAAATACACTCGGTGTTGAGGTGAAGCTTACTCGCAGATTGACAACAAAATACATTTTCGCTGTTGTTATAGGAAGTCTTCGAGTTATAAGTTTCGCTTTCGCGTCACTCTTTAACAATAAAGATAAGTATGTCATCCATTTCTCCGCGGAAACGGGTTTAAGCCTTGCCACTGGTGGTTCCATGTGCCTCTTGATGAATTGTCCGGGGTAGCCATTACGCTCGAACACGCTTCGAATTCATGTACAACCTTTCAAAACGGCTTGACCGGCGTTTTTCTTGTGCCCACGTTTGTGTCCACGTTTAACAGGATTGGGCGACCCACCTTTTGGCCACTGATCCAGATGGGCCACCCCTTCCACCACCAATCACTGTTGCCAACGAAGCTAGACGCCTTTTCCTCTCTACTTTGCTCGATTGGGAGGAAGATTTGAAAGAAGGATTACTGGAGCGCAACCAAATTGGTAGCCAAGCGCAATTAACTCAGCGGTTCAGTTGGTCCCCGACTTCGCTTGCACGCGGGCAATTCAGGGGATTTCTCAGTTTCCTTCATTGTTTGTCGCCTGCCGATATAGGCCCATCTGTCAAGTCATACTGCGGACTGTCAGAAGTGCGGATACTAATCAATAGCATTTTGCAGGAACGCGAACATATTCGTGTGAAAGCGGAAGCCGAAAATCGGAGAAGGCGAAAACACTTAAGAAAGTGTTTATCAGAGATCAGAGGTAAGCGTAAATTCTTTGCCTTTTTACTATGGTATGTTTCACCACAATAACTTGAATTCGAATGCATTCAAAGTCCTTTTCCATGTTTTACTTCTCCAACGCGCCGCGGGTAAAACTCCCTTTTTAGCCGGACTCATTTTTGCTTATAACATTGATACAATTTACGGATTACTCGATAATTAGCTAGCTGTTTGCCACTGTTATCTGCTGTCTTCACTCGAGGCTTACTATTACTTAGTTCCATTCAATCCTGCTACTTATGTTTCGTCTACCGGCCTGTAACCTATAGATAACGAACTTGTCTCCTTTTCTTGCGGCGCGGGTTCGATCCTGCGTAGAGCGGACCTTACATTATCCTTAGCCTGCGTGCGACCGATGGTGATTGCGCGGTAGCGAAGCTTCAGTACTGCGTGCCGACGTACTGCTAATGCCTACTTATGTTTTGTAGTGGAATCTGGAATCTCGCATCTCATTTTGAGCAGTTTAGGGAACTTGATTTCATTGAGTGCTTTAAAGTGCTTTACGAATGCACCACTTGTGAATTATGCAGAACGCCATGAGATGGAATGACCTGTTTCGTTGGAAGCTGTCCTCATCCCAATGAGGCTGACACCTAGTGTGTTGCGATGAGACTGGACCTTATGTGGTGCAAACTTTGCGTACCTCAAAGATCCGTTGAGCTACGCTTTCTGCTTTTTGCACCTTCAGAGCCACTCATACCCGATTGGTCGTGGTTAGCGACCAGCCTCATTTTCCTGGCCCTCCAGGTTGCAGTTAGGTCGTTTTCTTTTCCCCAGAAGCGGACTCTGTGCAGCCCTGTGCCGAAACTCCGCTGCATTGCGGTCAGATTTTTGAACCAGACTTTGGTTGAGATCCCTAATAAATCTCCGTGTTATATATATATATATATATATATATATATATATATATATATATATATATATATACAACCTGCCATGGCATCTGATCAAAAACGTGCCCAACGTTATTTCCCAAATTTTCTCATAGGTCTCAACCTGTGTTTCGTGTCCACCTGTCTAACGCAACCGTGACCATGTTTTTGTGGTCCACAGACGTTCTAACACCTGTAAAAGGCGACCAATAATAACACGACTGGCTAAGATTTCTTGAGTTGTCATGAAAATCTGCCACCCTATTGCACAGATAGTCTATATTTCGTCTCGGGGTGTCATAATTGGCCACTCGTTCTGCTTCACTTGTCTACGTAGCAAGACAACACACTGGCAGTGCAGCGGTAAATTACCTGTCACCACGTGTAAACGTGCCTGTTGAGTCTGTGATTTGTCCGTAGGAGTGCATCTTATCGATACTCCCGGATACTATGGTGAAACTATGTGCATATGTATGTCGGTTCGTATAAATTACAGTAGATAACTAGAAATCATAACAATATCTGTCCATTTCGAACGGAACTTTTTCTGGTTTAAGTCTGACGTAAGACAGAATGGCCAATTCCAAAATTGCAGAGCTAATGGCATCAGCACTAGAAGAATGAATTTTCGGTGATTCGACATATTTCAAGAAGGGCAAAGTTCGCGGACATTGACATAACATTGCGGAGTAAGAAAGACAAATCCTGGTTTTTAAATGGCTAAGTAACGTACTTAGACTGGAAAAAGAATGGTCGAAAAATGGGAAATGAAGACATGAACACACTGTTGCATATGGTGCCAGTCTGTACTTGCAACAAACATCCCATTATCTGGACCAAGCGTTCAAAAACTAGCCTTGCGCTTTGCACAATAATTGAAAAACTCAGACTTTAAGGCATCAAAGGGTTTTTTGCAGGATTTCATTACTAAACACTACCTTGTGTTTGGCAAGCTATCTGGCGAAAGCGATGACTTCGATATATGTGCTGCATCGGACTGGACAACAAGTTACCCGAAATATGGTTACCCAGCTCAATACATTTTTAGTTTAGATGTAATTGGGTTATTATTATGGCGATGCCGAACAAAACATTTTTTGTCAGAGTAGAAAAATGCAGTGGTGGAATAGGAAGCAGGACGAATCACGGTTTTGCTGTGCACTAATTTCTTGGGGAGTGCGAACCAGCCTTAGTGCTTGCGAAGTCAGCCAACCCTCGAATTTTTAACATCACCATGAAAAACTACCGGTAATTTACAAGGATATTAAAAAGGCATGAATGACTCTAGTTATTTTTGAAGATCGGCTTAAAAGCTTTGTCAAAAAGATGTTCTTTGGCAATGCCACTTACCTTCGCAAAATCCAGCTAAAGAATTTCCAGCTGCATTTCTTGCCGCCACTGCGTTAGTACCACCCCTCGACCAGGATGTCATTCAGTCACGTACAACTTAAGAAAAGACAGCTACATCTTATTATGACCAAGGAATCACACAACAATATGTCAGGAACTAGACACATAAAAAGTGTACATTTCTTGGTCATCGTGTTCTGGATCGCTGCCGCATGGAATGAAGTGGAGAACTCAACAATCTCTAGGTGTCCTTGTAAAGCAGGGTTTTCTTGTCCTACAGACCTACATTCTGAGATAGTATTGCAAACTGGACCTTAGCCAGACGAGCAAATTGTACCTTCCGCGACCTCTACTGCATTGAATATTCTTTTAAAGGAATTGTTTGGTTGACGACTGACTAACATCCCCCTTGCTGAATCTAATCAAACTTGTGACACAACAGAACTATACTGTGACCTTCATGCTACTTCAGTTTTAGCAGCTGAAGATGTGAATAGTAAATCAGATGACGAACAGGAATAAGATTCTACAGAATTTCTGACAGCCTATACATCCACAGACGCACAGGACGCCGCCGACGTTTTGTGCTCCTACGCAATAAATAGCAGGCACATTGACATGCTTGAACTTATCATGAGCGTGAGGGAAAAACTAATTTCATCTTTCATTTTAACTGCCAAGCAACGGACTTCTATGCTGTAATTTTCTGTCTGGACAATAGAAATGTGTATGACTTTTCTAAAACTTTAAATTAGACCGTTTTGCAGATTGGTTTTTAACTTGTTTACTCACGACCTGTAACTTTATTTTTATTACTCATACACCTCATAGCATGCAATACCATTGTTATTGTTTTTAGAGGACTAATACTGACTGTAGAAGTTGTCCGGGTACACATCTAGTTCTCATTTGATGTGTAGTCCACATGTGCGATGGATGATGAGTAGTGTCCCCCACTCATGGACCTATCCATGGTGACTACCTGTGGTACAGATTTTCAGCCATCGGAATCATAGCGGAATAAGAAAACAGGATCAGAATAAGAAAATAACATGCAACTTTTTTGTCCAGTTCTCTGCTCAGTTTTCCAGTTTTCTTAATAGGTTGTTTTATTAGAGAAAGATAAGGGAATCACCGCAACACGTCCGCGATTGATGTCGGCCTTGAGCCATGACTTCCAGAGTATCCAACCAACGATTTTCCGTATCTCTGAAATATCAATTAGGGAATCGAGAACAACCGATCGAGGCGAACTGTTTGCTTTGCATACCACTTCTTCAAGTCGTAGCTTGTCCACCGCCTTCAACCCTGCCTAGCAACGGCAAACAACACCCGATGCGGAGAACTATGAAGGAGCATGCGCACTACATGTCCAAGCCCTCGCAGATGACGCAGCGGGACTAGCTCCTCGAGCTAGTGGCCGCCTCCACCTAAGACACGCCGTTTAACTTCCACTTGCTCACGCAATATAGGGAATTTCTTTTCAAACAATTCCTTGGTACTCTGGCCGTCGCAAATGATAACCAACGGTGCTCTATCTGTTGAATCCAACGGATGAAGAAGATTGAGGGTGCCGCCGCCCAGAATTTTCCATTTTCCCTCCTTCACCCCCTCCCAACTTCACATTTATCTCCCTGGTTTTCAACTCTAATTCTTGGCCTTCAAACTTTTTCCTCCCATAGATGTTAGTCTCCGTGTTTCTACTCACTGTTAGTTGGTCGCAGCGGATGAACGCTAAGGCAGACTTTTACGACACGGAGTGCGCCGGATGCACGCCACGTAGGTCGCTGGCGAAATTGGTCTGTCATCAATAGCCCCCGTTGCTACGTGGTGAGCCCGAACTGACGCAATCACTCCGTCAACGCCGGCTTGGGTGAGGCTGCGTTTGGTCGATCATGCGGGCAACCGAACACAGGAGACCGCAAGTACAAGCAGTCAAGTGATTGCCCATCAGTCGAGCGACATGCAGTCTAGTTGGAAAGCACAAACAATGATGTGCGTGTGATCTATATAGTAACATATCACTATACGGAACGTCAGCATAACGAAATACTCAGATTTGCGAAATTATTTCTAGGCCCGACGGAAATATGGTGTTGTTTGCCCAAAAACATTAACAATGCCCTCAAAATCCATCTAATTTTAGGCCCCTTCCCTTTCCCTCTTTAACGTGTGTTAGAGCATTTAAGTTTGAATTTCAGACTTTCAGTATAAAGAATGAAAATCTGTCTTTTTGCCTTTGTTTAATCTTTTTTTAAATGTAATTAAAATTCGTTCTGTTTTATAATATAAATATTTTTCCTACCATAAGTGGCGAAGGTTAGCAAAACTGCCTCGAGCTTTTGGTATACGGTTCGTGATCTTATCTTCAATCCACGGGCACTAATATAGCTGTCCAGGTACTTGAATTCCTAAACGACTTCTAGCTGATCACCACCAAGGGTCAGTGCAGGGGTGGGTCTTTGCCAATCTTGAAGAAGTACTTTGCATTTCGAATCAGCAAAGCGTAGCCCAATACGTTTCACAGCCAGTGCAATTATTAAATTTACATTTTGATAATGTAATTTTAGTCCATTTATAGTCGTTTCTGTCAAGTGCTGGAAATCTACCCATTTTAACACAGAAGGCTTATTTTGACTTGACTTATCTCGAGAAAGCACCTAGTCATTCGTCTCAACTTTTCTGACCAGAGTCGATTGTTTAGGGATTATTTTGAGATCGATGCCATATCTACGGCCAGTGCGCGTGCTATCGGGAA